TGCTTGCATGTTTGGGTTATATAAGTGCTTAAAAATATATTGAAGTATGATATGAAATCTGGTACAAAGTTGGAACAGGTTTCATAACATGTTTCAATTCAGGGAACCAGGTCGGGGAACCAGGTTCACTGTATTCGAGCTGCCGTTTTGGAAAAAGATTTTACAAAAAGATTTTTTTCGAAAAGATTATCTTGAAAATATTTTGTGCAGCTGGAAATAAGATGAAATATTCTTGGTTACCTAAAATCTAGGAGTATTTATCTTAATTGATTCTATCTTTGTGATTAAATCAAATAAGATAAAAACTTTCCTAAAATTACATTATATCTTATTCTCTAAGATTGTGTGATTTAAGGAAACTAGGTTTTAGGAATCTAAGCTTATATAAACTCATCTTATTTCACATATTTCGTGTGCCTCTCCATAAATTAAAAAGAGCAATTATTTGAGAGCATATACTTAAGCACTAATCCCATTCATCAAGTCATATACAAGAGCATTCTAGTACTTAAACTTTTTCTCTTAATTAGCTTTGTAGAAGTGAGATCAAAGGGGAGTTCTTGATTCTTGTATTGAGTCTTTAACAAAGGGGTTAAAGGCTGGGTGAGTGTTTGTGAGTTCAAACACATTGGGCTTACGAGTGTAAGTCGAGAGCACACTCGGAGTAGAGTGTGGGGTTTGCTGGTTCCCGGAGTAGGGAACAGCAGAGTGTTCTTTGTCTTTGTTTTTCGGAGTAGATTAATAAAGAACTTAGGATAGGAGGACGTAGGCCTGAGTTGGCTGAACCTCGTTAAATTTGTTGTGTTCTTTATTGCTTTATTTTATTTCGTTAAATTTGTTGTCTTCTTTATTGCTTATTTATATTCCGCTGCGTACGGGAACCAGCACAACTGGTTCCTCACACATAATCCGAAAAGAAGCAAAATTAGCCAACGATTACTTAACACTCAATTCACCCCCCCCCCTCTTGAGTGCCCATTGAACCTTCAAATAGTACACATGCTCATCATTCATAACAATAACAGTCCCCTTGCATGGGAGGTCAATGTCAAATATTATTCATCACTTCACCAGAAGTTGGGCTCTCTCAAGCAAAGGTTTAATCATTGACAACAGGGACATACATATCGATAGTCAATGGGGTAAAACAGGGACAGACATTAGGGTGAAACAGGGACAAGCATTGGTTAGTTATATTGGGGTCAGTAAAAAAGGGACATAGTCAAGGAGTATATTCCAAGCAACATTAATTAAGGGACATAATTAAGGAACATATTCCAAGCAACATTAAACAGTGGACATAAGTAAGGGACATATTCCAAATAACATTAATCAAGGGACATTAAAAAGGAACATAATCCAAGAAACTCAGGTACATATCACAGACACACCAACATCAATAGCAACAACAACTTATCACAATCATACATCCCCTGGCCAGTAACAGATCACAGTTGCTGGCAACCATTTATCAACAAGCAACACACAATCCTCCATCTCAATCAACAATAAATCAGAAATTTCACCAACAACATCAAGGGACATAATCCAATAAATTCAAGGGACGACATATAAAAGGGCAATTAAGTTACCTAATCAAAGGAGCACCCTAATTTCTGCTTCATCCATGAAGCATTCAAATTAGAGTTATCTACAATTAGGATGGGACACACATCTTTAAAATTCAAAGAATGTATGCATTTAAAGGGACAATTCATCAACCACTTGGATTAAAATCATAAGAATAATCCATAATTAAGGCCAAAACCGAAATGAATTCATAAAAAAAAGCCAAACTCGAAACTAATTCATAAAAAAAAGGTTAAAACTTGTGATTTTATCAATTTATATGCATGACATGTACTACTCTGTATATGCTACGAGTAAAGTTAATTCAAAAATTCGCAAAATTCATCATCATTCCTCTACAAAAACCGAAATTCATCAACAAAAATCTCACTTCATTCATCAACATTCATCAATAAAAAACGTAAATTTCAACAACATTCATCAACAAAAACCGCAAATTTAATCAAATTAAAGCAAATAATTCATGACATAAAAATAATATTCCCCTTGCAAGCAATAATCAAGCTAGCAACAATAATCCAGCAACAATTACCAGCAACAATAATCGTTCATCCGCCACTTAAACATGCTTCTAAGTATAGAATTAAAATAAATTTAGAAAACTTAAATAACAAAGAGGTTAGGGTTTCGAATATCTACCAACAAATGTCGGCAAGCAAGTTCATTTCAAACAGGGAGACTCAGTTGGAGCATTATGTCAAGGCCCTTGCCGGAACTGTAAAGGAGCTCAGGCCACGACGACCCCTGCTCAAGTGCGTCAATTAGGGCTAAGATTAACCCCTTTTTAACCTCGTCGTCACTCTCAAATAACGCAAGGTGTAATGGGAAAAAATTCACGGCCGACATCGAGGGACTCAAACACAGATCTAGGGTTTCTGATTTGTGAAAAATCGAGTTTAGGAAAATCGAACTCAGAAAAACGAAGAAGAAGAAGATGAATAGAAAATCAATTTTAGGAAAATCGAACCCAGAAATCAAAGAAGAAGAAGATGAATAGAAATCAAAGAACAACGAACCCAAAAATACGAAGCTCAGTAGCGAAAATGCGAAGAGAATCACCAATTGAAGAAACAGAGAACCTAGAAAACGAAGAAGAAGAAGATGACTGAGAGCCAGAGATGAGAGAGAGGCAGGTGAGAGAGAACAAGAGATCAAGAAAAGAGAAAGAAAGAAGACAGAAAGAGAAAGTAAGAAGATCAGGGGGATCGATGATTTTTTTTTTTTAATATTAACATTCGCACCGGTTTGGTTCGTACCGGTGTGATTAACTCATGTTCGCACCGGTTTGGTTTGAAACGGTGCGGTTACTCTTTAATTAAATCGCGCCTTGTTTTTTTTCGCACCAGTTCTTAATTACCGGTGCTTATTTCTCGATGCTCATTTATGTTTTGCTACTAGTGTTTGTAAACGTAAGATTCTAGTTTGAAAATGTGGGACTTGAGTTTTGCAACTCTTTCTAACAATCAAGCTAAGAATCAATCAATTTTTGTTAGATTAATGACAATTTAGTGAGTTCTATTCACTTGATTATCACTTATTACACTTATCTAACTTAGTTTCTTGAATGTAGCTTATGATTTTATAAGAACTTTTATATGAGCTTATTTTTCTTATTATAAGTTAAAATAATTGAATAATATAAGGCGAGCAGAACATGCATGACGTTACGTTATATACATTACACAACAAACTTGTTTTAATTTTCCATATTTATTTATTTTCACAACTCACCATTGTTGTACTGTGGTCACCAATGTAGTGAAAGAGAAATTAAAGGAGGAGAAATGAAAGAGGTGCAAAACGTTTTAAGCTCACAAATCCTCGCCTTCATCATGCACTTAGCTTTCATATGGTTTACAAATTTAACTCTTATATGAGCTTATTTTTCTTATTATAAGTTAAAATAATTGAATAATATAAGGCGAGCAGAACATGCATGACGTTACGTTATATACATTACACAACAAACTTGTTTTAATTTTTCCATATTTATTTATTTTCACAACTCACCATTGTTGTACTGTGGTCACCAATGTAGTGAAAGCGAAATTAAAGGAGGAGAATTGAAAGAGGTGCAAAACGTTTTAAGCTCACAAATCCTCGCCTTTATCATGCACTTAGCTTTTATATGGTTTACAAATAGAATTTTTTGTCTTAATTATGAGACAGCTGGCTGATAACTATTGATGGAGAGTGGAGACTCGTTACACCGCACGGGCATGAATACAACCAACTTATTTGGTAAATATTTCTTGGACTGTACTCTTTGGTTAGTACAACTGAAAAATAAATTTAGCATGAAAATAAGGATAATTGAACTTTGGTTAAACCTATTCTTAAGAACCTGAACTTTGAACAATTAAAGTTATCTTAAGGACCATTAGTGATAACTATTGTAAAGATTTCTCGTTAATTTTACTAAAAAAAATATAATACAAATACGGAGTAATTTATAGGGAAGAAATTATTTTTCTCTCTAATCTATAGTAGCTGTTGATTTTTTTTTTCAATTTTTTTAGTTTTATTTTTTATTAATTGATAAATTTAGTAGTACATACAACACGCTACCATATCAAGTTTGATTCATGACGTTAAATGGCTTAAACAATTAAAATTTTAATTATTTATTTAATTTGCATAAAAAAATAATCAATTATCTATTAATAGTCACAAATTTGTCTACTAATGTGTTCTCTCCACCTTATTAAACCTGAACTTATTAAACTTTATTGAACTTATTATTATTATTATTATTATTACTATTATTATTATTATTATTATTATTATTTGTAGTAGTAGTAGTAAAATTATTTACATAGTAAAAAAAAAATATTCAGGGGACTATTAATATTGTATAATATATAACATATATAATACTTTATTATTAAAAAATAGTATTTAATATAATTATATTAGACCTGATTAGAACTTATTAAACCTTATTTAAAATTTATTAACCTTATCGAACTTATTAGACTTTATTATAACTTATCTGAAGAGCTGAACTTTATTGTAACTAATCTAAACATATTAGATCTTGAACTTTTTTTAATAAGGTGAAGAGAACATTAAGGTCAATCATAGCACTATGTGAATGTCTTACGATTTGGTGTACGAGGCAATGGGAGGGCTGCCAAAGAGGGAGTAAAAAAAAGGAAAGAATAAATGTGATTTTGAGAGAAAAAGCAAGGTGATAGAAGGTCATATATATATATATATATATAATATGAACATTTATATTTTTTGTTGAATGTTGATAAATAACTTAAAGGATAGACGGTGAAAGATACATGTTATAGACGTACGAAATGAAGTAGTTGCCATTATGTTATAGTTTAGGTTGAAAAAAGTAAATAATTTGGATTAGAGGTAGTTAAAATTAATCTTCATTAATACGAAGTACTACGTAGTAACCTGTACATTGACAAAAATTTCACCGATAGCAATATCTCCTTGAGCACCACTATAAAAGAAGACCCCATGCACACTCAAGAGAGCACCACTACACGTACGTACTGAAATCATCTCTCTTTTCCCTAAAAATGGCAACATTATTTCTTTCTAAACCCTCCTCTCTCCTCCCATTTCTCATCCTCTTCCTCTCTCTAAGCCCTTCCTTGTCCAAAAAATCCACCTTCATCGTCCACATGTCACATTCCCACAAGCCGAACGCCTTCGCTTCTACCCACGACTGGTACTCCTCCATCCTCCGCTCTCTATCCACCACCCCTGAAGAAACACAACATGATATCCTCTACACATATTCTAAGTCTGCCGCTGGTTTCGCCGCTCATATATCGCCAGCTCTAGCTGCCAAGCTCCGCCGCCATCCCTCCGTGCTATCGGTCATACCCGACCAGATAGTCAAGCCGGTTATCACCCAATCAACTAGCTTCATGGGCCTCTCTGATTGGTCGGGTATATGGCCCAATACAGATTGGGCCTCAGATATTGTGATAGGTGTCGTAGACTCCGGAATATGGCCTGAAAGTACAAGCTTTCACGATGGCGGCCTTAGTGAGGTGCCCGCTAGTTGGAGAGGTATCTGTGAGGCTGGACCTGATTTTCCGGCCATTTCTTGTAATAAAAAACTCATTGGTGCTCGTTCATTTTATAAGGGGTAAGAATTTTTTTTAAATACTCGTATGCTTAACTATGTCTCGTGCTAAACTGCTAATGCAAGGGATATGTTACTCATTGGCGCTCGTTTATTTTATACGTGGGCAAGACAGTTTTTGGTATTTAACATATGTGTCCAATTAAATTAGAGAAAAAAAAAATTTGGAGGTCTATATTCCCATATAATTGACGTATTAAATTGGCACAAAGTTTAAGAAAAGGTTGTGTGAGGGTAATTTTTATTGAATTATTTATTATTAAGTGAAGTTAGTAAAATTTATTTTTTATTCATAAAAGTGGGACGTGCTGCACATGGAGGGGATGAGAATTTTGGAAAATTTGTTGAAAACCATCCTGTAAAAATCAAATTTTGTTGAAAACCATCTTATAATTTTTTTTTTGTCAAAGCACACATGTTTGATTTTTTTTTTTTTTTTGTTGTTATGTCCCTCCACTTCCCGTAACTGCTTGAAGCAGAGGAGTTACGAAGAGGGGAATGAATGGAGGGAAAAGGGGGAAAATAAAAGAAATGTGGGGTTAAGTGAGTCACGTGAGGTGCACATACTAGTCAATGCCGAAAATGTAAGTCAATATTCGGAATCCGGGGAGTGGTGGGACTTAACAAAAAAAATTTTAAAACAGGTGTGCTTTGACAAAAAAAAAAAAATTATAAAAGGGTTTTCAACAAAATTTGGTTTTTATAAGATGGTTTTCAAGATAAATTTTTTTTTTTAAATACGGAGTATAACCCTAAAAGTGGCGAGTCATTGTGAAATTAAAGATAGAAAGTTAGTTAAACGTTGATGGATCCTTGTCATTTTTAGTCATTTGTCAATAAGTAAGAATCGAACGCAAATGTAAAGGATATCAGACCTTTAATTTTTATATATACTAGTTTTATGCTCGAGCGATGCCCAAATGATTTATTAAATTTTAAGATAAACATTTTGGCTTGAATGTTAAATGTAACCATATAATCCCTTTTGATAATGCTGGATATTTAGACATACGATATCATATCGCTTATTTATATAATAGTGTACGTAGTTTTATTTGTAAATAGATAACTATATTATTATTGACTTGAAATTATTTTAATTGAACTTAAATTATTTTTACTGAACTGAAAGTATTTTTACTACACTAAAATTATTTTTTACTGATTAAACCTTATTTTTACTGATTCTCTATTATTTTATTTTAAATACATTACATATATTACAAATGGATCTTATTTTAAAGAACTTTTTTAAAACAAATTTTATGATAGAAATAGAACCGAGTTATAGGAAAAATTATTACCCGTCAAAGTTATGCTTAATTTTGTGTATATGAAATATTATAAGTATATCCATAATAAAACTTTTTACAAAATTTTTATCAATCTTACAAAATCTATCAAATATTCGCTTAATTAGCATTATATATGTAACAATAATACCTATTTTTTTGCTTATGTGGTCCAACACTTGGTGAAAAATGGAATATCAAGTGACGTCGTCCCGTAGTCTGGCTGAGAGATCCGACTTTATTTATTAATGATATGTTATTAGATTTTTTATACTTTGTATAATATATTGATTACACATGGTATACTATAGATTTAAAATAATAGTAATAGATATGGAAAATATGTGAATTACAAATAAATACTTTCTTACGAGAGTGAATCACAATTATATGATTTGATGAATATATATAAAGAATATTTTACAATAAGTATTTGAAGTAATTAAAAAAAATAATAATAAATTGGAGGGAAAAAAATACCACCTTGACGTAACACGTCTCATTTTATTTTAGTATCATGTTATTGATTATTGAACGAGAAGTTTCGAAAGTATAAGGAATCAAGGATTAAGGGTTACTCTACTTGCAGGTACGAAGCGATTTATGGGACATTAACAGAGATTAAGTCAGCAAGGGACCTCAGTGGACATGGCACTCACTGCGCCTCAACAGCAGCAGGATCAGCAGTAGCTAACGCTGGATACTACCGGTATGCGGTTGGGAAGGCTCGCGGGGTGGCAACCAAGGCTCGTATTGCGGCCTATAAAGTACTTTGGGCAAGAGGATCTGGAGCGTCATTAGCGGACATACTAGCGGCCATGGACCAGGCCATTGAAGACGGAGTTCATGTCCTATCTATGTCAATCGCATTAAATCAGACCGTTGATTACTACATAGACACGACAACTATTGGCGCATTTCGAGCAATGCAGAATGGGGTTGTGGTAGTAGCCGGTGCAGGGAATGCCGGGCCAGACTCATTCAGTGTCAGAAATATTGCACCGTGGATGCTGTCTGTTGGAGCTTCTACCATCGACAGGGAATTTCCCGCAGATGTGATACTCGGAAATGGACAGGTGTTTAGAGGATCGTCTTTGTTCAACTTCAAGCAAACTACTACTAACACTATGATGCTGGTTACTGGTGAATCTAGTGGCAGTAGGTTTTGCAGGCAAGGTACATGAATACTCAACTCATGCATCCTACCATTTTTTTTGGGCTTAGTATAATAGTATGTACTGTTATGGTATTTGAAATGCTTTAAGATAGGTTTTTTTTTTTTTTTTGACATTAACCACCTCTTAATTTTAATCGTTTAAGGAGTTACCACTAAGTTGTTAGTATATATGCTGCAATGGTTAGTTGAATTTTACAACATAATTAAGTGGACTTAGTGAAACAATTCAATAATTGTGGACTCTTTTCTAATTAAAAGGAACACTATTACAATTAATCATATCGAAAATAGAATTTAAAAAAGCTACAATTAATCATAAATGGAGGGGATACGTATCATGCAAATTTACAATGTACTCCAAATTCATGGTAATATTAGGCAATTAAAATGAACCACTTTAGTCAAGGTGGTACATTTTATTTACGAAATGGATGATAAAATTGTACCACTTTAGTCACAGTGGTACATTTTATTTACAAAACTGCCACTGTGAGAAACAAAAACGTTTTTCATAGTGAGTAACAGAGATTTACTTTTTTTAAACAACCACATATTGTATCTCGTTTTGAAATAAATTGTTAGCTCTATTCCCAAAACAGTTTTTTTATTTTTTATTTTTATTTTTTATGTCAAAGGTGAACTTCATGGATCCCGAGTGTTTGGGAAAATGGTGCTTTGTGAGAGTGGAGGAACTTCAGGAGTGGCCAAGAGTTATGCAGTTCAACAAGCTGGTGGTTTGGGAATGATTTTGATAAACCAAGCTACCGATGGTGAACAATTGATGGCTTTTCCATTTATCATCCCTGCATCAACAGTGACTTATACCGCAGGAAATCTTATAAAAAATTACATGTCTTCGACCGCGAATCCAACCGCCAGAATCATGTTTAGAGGGACTGTGACAGGCCCCTCACCATCAGCACCGAGGGTGGCAGCATTTTCTTCCCGCGGCCCCAACCTGATCACACCAGAGATCCTAAAGCCCGATGTCATTGCTCCCGGGGTTAACATCCTGGCCGCTTGGACAGGTGCTTTGGGGCCTAGTGGGTTAAGTTTTGACACGAGAAGAGTGTCGTACAATATTATATCTGGTACTTCTATGGCTTGCCCACATGTAAGTGGTTTGGCCGCTTTGCTAAGAAAGGCTTACCCTAGTTGGAGCCCTGCCGCTATCAAGTCTGCGATCATGACTACTGCTTATAACCTCGACAATTCAGGCAACAATATCACTGATTTAGCCACAGGGATGGAAGCCACAGTGTATGCTCGAGGATCTGGACATATTGATCCTAACAAGGCTTTGAATCCTGGGCTAGTCTATGATCTTGATACAAGCGACTATATAGCATTTTTATGCTCCATTGGATATGACTATAGAAAAATTGCTCTATATGTCCAAGACGCGTCTATGATTGATTGTCGCGCAAAGAATTTCTCGAGTCCTGGTGAATTGAATTATCCGTCCTTCTCGGCTGTCTTTGAATCTACCAACGATGTGGTAAGATACACAAGGGTAGTGAAAAATGTTGGGAGCTCAGTGAATGCTGTATACCAAGTTAGCATCAATGCACCACCTTCTCTTAGGATTAATGTTAATCCTACAAGACTTGTGTTTAATGCTAATAGAAAAACATTGTCCTACACCATAACATTCGCTAGCACTAGTGGAATTATTATACCAGCAGTTGGAGCGATCGCCTCCGGTTCAATTGAGTGGAGTGATGGAAGTCATCGCGTGAGGAGCCCTATTGCAGCTTATTGGAAGCCTGGAAGTACTCGAGGAAACTTTGCAGCTTCAATGTAACAAGCTGGTTTGGCTCTTAATGAATAACTATATATAGCTTGCTTTGTCTTTTGGTGTGCTTTCTTCAATAAGCTTGTGTCTCTGGGACATAAGACATATCAACCCGTGTAGTATGGTTGTTTGTATGTCATATATGTAATGTTATTAAGTTCCTCTTAATAAAGAAATAAAAGTCCGTATTACTACGTTATTATTTACTTTTATACAATTCAAGTACTACGTAGTATATAATAATTGCACTCCCATAAAATATATATTGTGTTATTGTTCCTAACTCCTAAGCTATCATATGATACATTTATCTAATGTCTAAATTATAGATTGTAAATTTGTAACAGGTGAAATAAAATTACGTAGAATTTTAATTCCCAAGAGCTTAACATGTTTTGTTTAGATGTAAGTAATATTGCATTAACCTAGCTCTTTACTCCACTGGCAGAGCCAGGCAGGGACCAGTGGGGACACTTGTCCCCCCACTTTTTTTAAAAAAAAATGGTTATATACATTTCTATGTTGTATAATTACACAAAGATATGGTCAAAGTGATTATGTTGGGCTTGTAAGGTCATGAGTTCAATCCTTTAATCTAGCATTTTTTTTGTAATTTATGTATTTTCCCTTTTGTACTATGAAATTTTATTTTATAACACCTAAATTACCCCTACAAGCTATGTAGTTTATATTTTTTTTTCCTTTTCCTACTATGGAATTTTTATTTTATAACACCTAAATTACCCCTACTAGCTATGTAGTTTATGTTTTTTCCCTTTCCTACTATGGAATATTATTTTATAGCACAAAAATTACTTTCTAAATTACCTAGCTCAAATTGCAACCCCAAATAAACTATTTGTTGTAATAGAAACTAAAAAAGAATAATTTTAAAATGAAACTTTAATTTAAATTAATAGTTACCTCATCCGTTCTTTTAATATCGCATCACTTTTATTTTAGGACAAAAATATCTTTGTTCACACTGCAAATACCCAACATACCCTTACTTTTTTTTAATACTTACTTTTTTTATCTTTACATTACCTGGACAATTTTGTATTTTTACGTTTATCTCTTTTACTTTTTCCCACTACCAAATTTTGTCTCCAAAACCCCCATTGCAATAAAAAAAGAACGGAGGAAGTATTATTTTTCAACCTTTTGGATCGTATGACTAAGTAGTTTGGATTATTGGGTTGTAAAACTTAATTATAAATATCAAACGTACAATTTATGCATATAAGTATATTAGTAAGGTTTTTTGTCAAATTATAGAACAACGTCGTCCTTAATTAGTCCGTCCCCCGTGATAAAAATCCTGGCTCCGCCACTACTTTACTCTCTAGTCTTAACATCTGATTTCTTTCTTTTCCTTCCATATAATCTTCTCCCCTTCACTCCATTTTTTTTTCCTCTATAATTTTTCTTGTCATGAAAGAGACAATTAAAAACTACTTTTACAGTTGTAGATTTTCTTCGAAATTGGACTCCCTTTGTACTCTTTTAAATGCATCAATTGCACAAAGTTTTGGATTTACAGTTGTAGATTTTCTTCGAAATTGGACTCCCTTTGCACAAACTATTTGCTCCATCTACTTTGTATTTATTGATTAAACAGGGCAAACAAATGATCACTTTATTTTGATAAAATATACAACTGGGACTATTAAAGATATAACATGTGAGAAAGAATAGTTTTTCCCTAATCCTTACTCATTTAAGTACGTAGGTCAGTTTTTTTTTTTTTTTTTCGGTGAACACGAGGGGTAAGCCCAAGCCCCAAGGTACGTAGGTCAGTTGGGAACATGAAATTAAATGAGAAAAACAATACAAAACATTTTGAGTAGGGATTTAGATAAGAAAATTTTACTTCTATATCTTGTTCACATGTAAGCGGGTTGGCTGCTTTGCTAACAAGGGCTTACCATAGTTGGAGCAACATCATTGATCTATAACCTCGACAATTCGAGGAACAACATCATTGTTTCTTCCACGAGGAAATAATCCTCGTTGTTTCTTCGAGGATCCGGGCATATTGACCCTAACAAAGCTCTCTATCCTGGGCTAGTCTATGATCTTGATACAAGCGACTATATAGCATTTTTATGCTCCATTGGATATGACAATAAAAAAATTGCTCTTTATGTCTAAGACCATCTATGATTGATTGTCGTGCAAATAATTTCTCGAGTCCTGGTGAATTGAATCATCCATCCCTCTTAGTTGTCATTAAATCTGTCAACAATGTGGTAACATACACAAGGGTGGTGAAAAATGTTGGGAATTCGGCGAATGCAGAATACCTGCTAGATTATGTAAATAATCTATTTATGTATTTATTGTTTTGTAATCATCTTTGGTAATTATCTTGTGTATAGTTCCCTAGTTTAACCTAAAATACTTTTGTATATATATATTGGTTAATCGTTAATGAGAAAGGCACGGCAAATATTCTCATATTCTCTCATGGTATCACAAGCTTAGGTTACGATCCGTCCTAATTCTCTTCCGCTCTTCTTTTTTTTTTCTTCTCTTTTCTTCTTCTTCCTTCCTTCCTTAGCCATGGTTGATTCCTCCAAAGTCCACCCTGCGACTCTCATCCCGAACATCAAGACTTGCATCCCTATTGTTCTTGATTACGATGGTACTAAATACAACAAATGGTCTACTTTATTTCAACTTCATTGCTGCGCAAATTTGGTCATCGTCCATATTAAACCTAAAGCTAAACCAGTTGAACCGACCGCTAAGGAGGATGTACCTGTTGACATGGCTCTATGGCAACGACGTGACGATATTGTACGCCAATGGATTTATGGGACAATTTCCAATAATCTTCTCAATTCTATCATTGATTCGGATGACAAAGCGGTCGATGCGTGGAATCGATTGGAGAATTTCTTCCGAAATAACAAGTATGCTAGGGCTTTGCAACTTGATGCCCAATTCACAAACACTAGGCTCGAACAATTTGATGGTGTCCGTCCCTATTGTACTCGTCTCAAGACTCTTGCTGATAGTTTGAAGAATGTAGGAGATACGGGCTCCGATAATCGAATGGCTTTGCAACTTTTGAAAGGTCTCTCGGAGGAGTATAAACCCTTTCGGACGTCCGTTCGTCATCTTACTCCTTTGCCATCTTTTAATACCCTCCGATCTATGCTAGAATTGGAGGAACAAGGGAACGCTGCAGTTTTGCCTCTCGAGTCTCATGATGAGGCTCACCTCACACATGTCTCTCCCTCGGCTTCACGGCAACACACTGATCAATCTCACAATTCTTCTAATTCTCGTTGGGGAAGACTACAAGAAATAGGCCGGATTTCGACGGACATCTTCCGACGGACACAAATTTCCGTTGGAAATCCTATATATTCCGACGGATTTATATTCCGTCGGAAATTTCCGACGGATTTCCTACGAAATAAAAATACGTCGGAATTTATGGGCTTTCCGACGGAATATTAATTTTTCGACGGAAATAAAATCCGTCGGAATATTCCGTCGAAACATTAAATTTCCGACAGAAATAAAATCCGTCGGAAACTTCCGACGGAATATTCCGTCGAAACATTAAATTACCGACAGAATTAAAATTCGTCGGAAACTTCCAATGGAATATTCCGTCGAAACATTAAATTTCCGACAGAAATAAAATTCGTCGAAAATTTCCGACAGAATATCCCATCGGAAAATTAATTTTCCGTCGGAATATAAATAAATAATAATAATAAAAAAACCCTTAAATCTCTGGAATCTTCCTATATGCCCCTTCAATTTCTCTCTCCTCCTCCTTCTCTTCCTTTCTCCTTCTACTGAATCTCTCTCCTCCTCCTTCTCTTATCTCTCTCCTCCTCCTCCTTTCTTATTCCATCTTTTCTCTCTCCTCCTCCTTCTCTTCCTCTCTCCTTCTCCTTCTCTTCCTCTACGCCCCTTCTCTTCTTTTTCTCTCCTTTTCCTTCTCTTCCTCTACGCCCCTCCTCCTCTCTCGTTGTTCTTCTCTTTCCGTCATTTTCGCCGACACCACCAATGCCGACCTCAACAACAACAAACACCACTGTTTTCAGGTCATTTTCGCCATCAACAACAACAAACACCACCATTTTTTCCATCAACATCAACAACACAAGGTTTTCAAGTCAAATTCGACCATGAAAACCCTAGATCTAAGGCTTTCATGGTCGAATTTGGCCTCGTATACCCAATTTTGAGGTTTTATGCGGTGGAATCAAGGTATGTATCTCTTTTTTTTTCTTTAATTTGTTTGTTGTATTTTTCGGATTTTTTTTTGCTATTTATGGTGGTGGTGGGTGGTGGCTGTTGGAGTACGGCTTTTGGGGGGGTTGGCAAGGTGGAAATACGGGTTAGGGTGGGTTTCTAGGGTTAGGATCTGGGTCATCGTGGGTATTTTAAAGATCTGGGCTAGGTAGGTTAGGGTTCGATGGTGGTCTTGGTGGGTTAAGGGGTGGGTTAAGGGTGTGGGGTGGGGTTACGATGGTGGGGTGGGTTGGGGTGGGGTTACAGTGGTACGGTTTTTGTGGGTAGGGGTGGTGAGCAGGGGTGTGGTGGGTGTTAAGGGTTAGGGGGTGGCGATGGGGTGGGTTAGGGTGGTGAGTAGGGGTAAGGTGGGTGTTAAGGGTTAGGAGGTGGCGATGGGGTGGGTTAGGGTGGTGAGCAGGAGTGAGGTGGGTGTTAAGGGTTAGGGGGTGGCGATGGGGTGGGTGGGGTGGTGAGTAGGGGTGTGGGCAGTGGTGGATCTGGGTGGGGTAAGGGTTAGGGGTGGGGCTGTTTTTTTTTTTTTTTTTATTAGCTTTTCCAACGGAAATTTCCGTCGGAATATATCTCTTCTCCATCGGAATATACCTCTTTCGACGGAAAATTTCGTCGGAAACCTCTCCAACTCCGACAGAAATTTCTGTTGGAAAATTGCGACAGAATTTTAATTAAAGTAAAAAAAGCGCCGACAGAAATAAATCCTTCGGAAATTCCGTCGGAAACTAGCCTTCCATCGGAAAAGGTCGAATTTTCTAAGGGTTTTGCGACAGACTGATTTCGACGGAATTCCGTCGGAAGACCATTCTTGTAGTGGAAATCAGCGTTCAAGTGGCCGGAAAAATAAGGGCAAGGGTGGCGCCACCAAGGGGAAGGGTGGTGCCGGGCAGCAGCGGCGGCGTGGTGGCTCCACACAGCAGCAGCAGCCACCGCATGGTGCACTAGCGCCGCAACAGCAGCAAGCCCAGCCAGGCTGGGCATATCCCCCCTCCTTGGGCCTATTAGCAGCAAGGGCCTTGGGCGATGCCTCCCTACTCGTACCCATCTTAAGGGCAACAATGGGAAGCAACTAGGACCATGTCTTCTCAGTCCGGTGTTCTAGGGCCGAGACCACCTCAAGCATACTTTGTGAACGATCCGTCTCATGCTTCGGGGTATATGCCGACCAACATTGAGAAAGCGATGCATACCATGTCACTTGCCGACCCGAACTACTATATGGATACTGGTGCTACATCACATATGACAAACTCTCAAGGTAACTTGTCGTCATATTTTCGTTTGAACAAAAATAATTATGATTCTATTATTGTTAGTGATGGTAGTAGAGTTCCAATTCACGGTTATGGTCACACATCCTTGAGCTAAAACACACTTCACCTCAAAAATGTCCTTCATGTTCCTAAACTTGTCAAAAATCTTATCTTAGTTAGAAAATTCACAATTGATAATAATGTTCCAATTGAGTTTGATCCTTTTAGGTTTTCTATGAAGGACTTGCAGATGGGGAGCAAAGTAGTGAGATGTAATAGCAGTGGCGATCTTTATCCATTCTTCACCGATCATCAACTCTTTTCAACTTCCATTTTGTCAGCTTTTGCAGTTATCTCTCCTAGTGTGTGGCATTCCCGTTTAGGTCATCCGGGAAATGCAATATTAAGTTCTTTGCGTAATAGCAATTTTATCAATTGTAATAAGACTATTAAACATGTTTGTCATTCTTGTCCTATGGGGAAATTAACGAAATTTCCTTTTTATGATTCCTTGTCTCATACTACTATGCCGTTTGATATTGTTCATAGTGACTTATGGACATCTCCCGTCCTTAGTTCTCTTGGTCACAAGTATTATGTTCTTTTTCTAGATGATTACACGAATTTCTATGGACTTTTCCGATCTCATCTAAATCCCAAGTCTATACTTTGTTCAATCGTGTTAGAACATATATCATAACCCAATTTGAGAGAGAAATCAAAGCTTTTCAATGTGACAATGGTCGTGAGTTCGACAATGATTCTCTTACAAAATTTTGTCACCAAAATGGAATGACTTTCCGTCTTTCTTGTCCATATACATCTCCTCAAAATGGCAAGGCCAAAAAAAAATTAAGACGATCAACAATATCATTCGTACTCTTCTTTGTCATGCATCTTTGCCCCCATCTTTTTGGAATTATGCATTGGAAATGGCTACTTACCTTCATAATATCTTGCCCACAAAAATTCTTGATTACAAATCTCCAACTCAAATTCTTTATCAAAAGAATCTCGACTACTCTCATCTTCGAATTTTTGGTTGTTTGTGTTTTCCTCTTCTTCCCTCTTCTAAAATACATATTCTAGCTCGGTCCATCCCTTGTGTTTTTCTAGGTTATCCTTCAAACCATCGGGGGTAAAGGTGTTATGATATGTTAAGTCGGAAAATCATTGTAGCAAGACATGTGTGGTTTGATGAGTCTGTATTTCCTTTTTCTAAAATTCACTCACCCAAGGCTCACACATATGAATTTTTGGGTGATGATGATATTTCTCCCCTTCATCTACAGCACACCCAACAGGCGGTGGCGTAAGCAATGACGTGCGTGAGGCAGCCTCTGCCCAGCCCGCACGCGCTAGCAGGCAAAGCTTGCATACACAGTCTACTCCGCAACCAGCCTGCGGCGAGAGCCCCCAGCCTGCGACCTACCCGTAGAGTGCGATGTCTCCCTCTACATACACTCGCACATCCCCTTCCCCTATGCAACAACACACCTCGCCCACCTCACCAGTCAGTGATTTTCCCCCTCACACTTAACAGCGTGGCCTAGTGCCACCTCCTGCTATCCCCGCCGGGTCAAATGCGGGTGTTGATGAGGGGAGTGCTCAGCTAGATGAGGATGCGCAAGGTGTCCTTTCCCCCCCTCTCTCGTCTCCTACTCACTCCCATCCGCACCCACCACCATCTCATTCCATGGCTACTCGTAGCAAGCATGGAATCGTTAAGCCAAATCCAAATTACCAAAATCAAGCTAACCACACTTCTACCTCCATATCACCTGTTCCAAAGAACCCGGTTCATGCCCTTCGTGACCATAATTGGAAAATTATTATGCAAGAAGAATTTGATGCTCTTATTGATAATGGTACTTGGGATTTGGTGCCAAGACCATCGAATGTGAATATTATTTTATCCTTGTGGATCTTTCGGCATAATTTGAAATCTGATGGCTCTTTTGAGAGACATAAGGCTCGGCTTGTTGGTGATGGTAAGACTCAAAGGAAGGGATTGATTGTGATGAGACTTTTAGTCCGGTTGTTAAGCCAGCAACTATTCGTGCGGTTCTCAACATTGCTTTTTCCAAATCTTGACATATTCATCAGTTAAATGTGAAGAATGCTTTCTTACATGGTAATATAAATGAAACTGTTCACATGTATCAACCTCTTGGATTCAAGGATCCTACTTGACCTGATCATGTTTGCCTCCTCCAAAAATCTCTATATGGTCTAAAACAGGCGCCCCGTGCTTGGTATTAGCGGTTTGCAGACTTTGTGGCTACTATTGGCTTTGTTCACAGCAAATCCGATAACTCATTGTTCATTTATCACCATGGTAATGAAACTGCTTACATTCTTCTCTATGTTGATGACATTGTTCTAACTGCTTCTTCAGAGTCCCTTCGCCATCATGTGATTTCACAACTTAGCTCTGAATTTGCAATGAAAGATTTGGATCCTTTGAGCTATTTCTTGGGTATTGCTGTATCCCGGGGCAAAAATATGCTCAAGAAATTATTGAAAAAGTAGGCATGGCTAATTGCAAACCCTCTACTACTCCAGTTGACTCCAAAGTGCAGTTAAGGGTTCTACTTCTAGTACTCTATATGATGATCCGACTTCTTATCGTCATCTGTGTAGTGCTTTGCAGTATTTGACTTTTACTCGACCAGATATATCATATGCGGTGCAACAAGTTTGTTTGTTTATGCACGCACCTCGTGTAGAGCACATGAATGCGTTAAAACGCATAATTCGATACATCCAAGGTATGATTGATTTTGGTTTGCATTTATATAAGTCATCCGTTTCTTCTCTCTTATCATACACGGATGCCGATTGGGGCGGGTGTCCGGATACTCGTCGTTCTACATCAGGGTACTGTGTTTTTCTTGGTGATAACCTGATATCTTGGTCTTCCAAACGCCAGCCCACTTTGTCTAAGTCCAGTACTGAAGCAGAGTAAAGGGGTGTTGCTAATGTTGTTTCTGATGAATCCTGTTAGGTTTGTAATTTGTTGCTTGAGCTCTGACGTCCTATTTCTAAAGCAACATTGGTTTATTGCGACAATTTTAGTACCATTTACCTTTCTAGTAATCTGGTACAACATTAACGCACTAAGCATATCGAGTTGGACATACACTTTATTCGTGAGAAAGTTTAAAAGGGCAAAGTTCGTGTCCTACATGTGCCTTCCCAATACCAGATTGCATACATTTTCACCAAAGATCTGCCTAAGGTGTTATTTGATGATTTTCGAGACAGTCTCAGCGTTCTTCAACCTACCGTTTCGACTGCGGGGGTGTGTTAGATTATGTAAATAATCTATTTATGTATTTATTGTTTTGTAATTATCTTTGGTAATTATCTTGTGTATAGTTCCTTAGTTTAACCTAGAATACTTTTGTATATATATTGGTTAATTGTTAGTGAGAAAGGCACGGCAAATATTCTCATATTCTCTAATACCAAGTTAGTGTGAGTGCACCACCTTATGTTAATGTAAATGTAAATGTTACTCCAACAACACTTGCGTTTAATGAGAATAGAAAAACAATGTCGTATACCATAACTTTCACTAGTATTGGCGGATTTACTATACCAGCTAATGGATTGGCTACCTTTGGATCAATTGAGTGGAGTGATGGAAGTCATCGCGTGAGAAGCCCTATTGTAGCTTATTGGCCATACAGACGTGCTCAAGAAGACTTCTTAGCTTCAATATAACAAGTTTGGGTCTTGATCGTATAACTAGCTATGCTATTTGGCAAGTTTTTATGATGGAACTTGAATAATAATATCTTAATAATGAGCATGTATTTCTAAGACATATTAGCCTCCCTATAAGTATGGTTGTTCGTACTACATGTAATTTGTTTCTTTGTAATTATTCCTCTTAATGAAATAAAAGTTCCTACATATTATATTCTACTCCTTTCGTCCCTTATTGATAGTACTTTTTGGCTAAATTCTAGTCCCAAATGGTTTACCCCATTTGTTTTTTCCAACAACCATTAATATTAATTTTTTACCAAAATTCCCTCCAATTTGCAACAATATTTGTGTAAATTTAATTTTCCCATGTAAATTTTGTTTTTCCATATACTTTTACTCCCTCCGTCCCTTATTGATAGTCCCTTATGGCCAATTTTAAGTCCCAAAATAATAGTCTCATTTGTCTTTTTCAAGTACCATTAATATTAAATTTTTACCAAAATTCCCTCCAATTTGCAACAATAAATGTGCAAATTTAACTTTCTTATGTAAATTTTGTTTTTCCATGTACTTTTATTACTTTCTCTCTCTACTTTTTTGCATACCAATGGAAATTTACATTTCCTATGTACTTTTTACTACTACTTATTCATGTTTATTAATTCCTGTGAAAATTGTTCAAAAGGGACTATATATAAAGGACGGAAGGAGTAATTTTTTCCAGCATAGTAATGGGAGTTTATAATGGACTGTCATAGTAATTATTCCACCAACCTCGGTTTGTTTAAGTCATATAGGGTCTTGTTAGAATCATTTTTAAATATATTTTCATGATATCAATTGTATATAATTTTTTCTTATAGATAATTAGATATATTAATCATTAAAATAATCCGTTAGCAAACAATGGAGGAAGTACATATATGCACTTTGCATGCACTTCTACAGTTTCACTAGGTTTTGCCACACAAATCTAAGCCACTTATGCCACAGGCTCCAACACCATTTTTTGAGCCCTCTCATACTCGACCAAATAGCCTGAGGAGGTAACAATTCAATTTCCTCGCTTCTTCGGCCTCTCTCACAAGTCGATCCTGGAATATGGCCAAATACTTCAAAAGTGCCTATGAAATTCTCTTTCGAGCCGTGAAAAAGATTCAACAAAAGACAAAACAAATCCACTATCTGTTTTACGTCAAGCAATACGTGGAGTAACTCCCGACATAGCCATAAAAGCAAGACATGTAGGCGGAAGGACTCATCAAGTTCCCATTGAAATAGGATCCACATAAGGAAAAGCGCTTGTCATTCGTTGGTTATTGGGGGCGGCCTGAAAACGTCCGGGTCGAAATATGGCTTTCAAATTAAGTTCCGAATTAGTGGATGCTGCCAAAGGGAGTGGCGATGTCATACGCAAAAAGGAAGAGACTTTTAGAATGGTAAAGGCAAATAGAGCTTTTGCACATTTTCGTTAATCCATGAACAGAACAATATCTATATAGACACCTAGATCCATGGATCCATACATTTCGATCAGAAAAGAATCAATAAAAAAAAGAAAGATACATACCATGGCTATAAATCTATAATGTTTTTATTGGCGTTACAAACGCAGTGATTATTGGGCTCGGGTCATCCCACTCTTTGGACCACACACTCACCATGCACGATTCCTATTAGTAAGCATTGTCCGCTTTGGGTCTAGCTTGAACAAAGTTGTTTTTGAACACCTTATCTATAAGTGCACTCTCAATGGTGAAGCCAAAAAAATTTACCTCACCACTTTCTCTCTACATTTCGCTCTACTCCACATCAGATTTTTGGTGATTATTCATCATTGACCGTTGCCATATATTTTTTCTTTTCCAAAAATTTTCTTCATTTGAAGAGAAACCTCACACCCTATGGCTCTAAGTGTCAAATTAATCACAAATTCTCAAATCTTCTCATTGAACGTATTAATTAATTCTCAAGTCATTACTCATATTTTATAGCTTTAGATAAGATAAATTCATAAAAGAAGAGTAAAATGAATTCAGAACTATATTAAAAATAACCATAAAAAATCAGGTAACATACATGAGTTCAAAGATTAAGGAAGAATGTATTGATAGTTTGAAACTATCATGTAAGAACATGTTACATACTCGCATGGAAGCTAAGGTAGGACTTGCAACTATCTTCCAACTCATGAAATCAAACTTTAAGTTTAGTTTATTGAACGATGAAAATTTATAGCCAATTTGCCTCTATCTAGGAGGACAAAATTTATTTTACAATCTAAATCGGTCGTTTATTATCTTTATTAGTTTATTTATCTAGTTATTAAAATAATTTTTGTTACTAAATAATTAAGACTATAGAAGAAATGATTTTGAATGATTATTGAAGATGCCTAGCATGAGCTTTAAATAGGCAAAGCATATTACAAAACCTAGCAAAAGTAGCTGCTGAATTTGCCTAACAAATCAGCAAACCATTAGCTAAATAAGAGGAGCTAACTTATACAGGATAAGTTACTCACAAAAGATAAGTACTACTAAAATGATAAGGTAGCTAACTAAGTCAACTATTATCAAAAAGAAAAGATTCTTAACTATCCTTTATTAAAGACAAGTAAATTGAGATCGAGGAGTCGAAGTAGTAATTAGATTATTAGTTGGGAACTAAAATCAGTTAAGGTGAGCTGTGAAGTATAGTAGTAGCTAGTACATGTAATCTTGCGTTGAGCTCATCAATAAATCAACACGTGCACGTGTCAGCTCGCACGTTGGACTCATTAATCACGAGTTTAATATGGGCAATTAAGTCATTGTGCTGCGCATGACCCACGAGTTCATATATATTCAACTTTGTTTATTTTTTTTTTTTTAAAAAAAAACACTACCTACATATTTATCTTTTTGATTTGAAAATTGTGCGTGATGATCAAAGTAACTCCATCCACCTTTAATTGATTTCTGATACTATACTTTGTCCCTCTGAGATTGTCTCGGATTCCTTTTGGAGGTCCCGCGGAAGTGTTAATATGCGCTTGCTGCACGGTGACTTTTGGTGAATAACCTGAGCTCGGATTAGCATATTTCATTAGTTTATGAGCCAAATAAGAGATATTTGTATTAAAAGTTAAGAGAGTTAAACACTTTATAAGGTTAAGGGCTAAATCTCCTATTGTCATGTAATTTTGGGATGAAACCTCCTTTGATTTTGTGAAGTAAACTCTTATAAAAAGTCAAAGATCATTCCATAGTAGAATAGGTATTTTTGTCATTTTGAATAAATTGAGATGGAGGGATCATATGGTATTATATAGTATTAAGCATTTAGCAAACCATACCTTATCTAATACTATACGATTGGTTTGTACAATTATATTGTACACTTACGTTCACTAGATAATCAGTTCAACTTTGTCAAACAGTTTCCAATCTAGATGCAATTACTCCAATTATTTTGTTGATCCATTTCAATCACCGATATATAGTATTTCGTATATAAGGAGTCAAGGAGACCCATGCATACCCATAACGTATTCAGTTCACACCCAAAAAGTGGCAACCATCTCCAAACCCTCAACTCATCTCCTTCCATTTTTCATCCTCTTATTTTTTCAATGTCCTTGTTTATCCATAAAGTCCACCTTCATCGTCCACATGTCACATTCCCACATGCCAAACGCCTTCACCTCCGCCCACGACTGGTACTCCTCCATCCTCCACTCCCTCCCCTGCACCACCACTTCAACCGAAGAAACACAACATGACATCCTGTACACATACTCTCACTCAGCTACTGGTTTTGCAGTTGTTATCTCGGCATCTAAAGCCGCCAAGCTCCGCCGCCATCCATCCGTGCTGTCGGTCATACCCGATCGGATGGTTGAGGCGGCAACTACAGAAACAACTACATTCTTAGGCCTCTCAGACGAGTCGGGAATATGGCCCGACACAGACTGGGGGTCAGATGTTATCATTGGTGTCGTAGACTCCGGAATATGGCCTGAAAACCCCAGCTTTCATGATACTGGCCTTGATAAAGTGCCTGCTAATTGGAGAGGTATCTGCGAGGTGGGTTCTGATTTTCCGGCCACTTCTTGTAATAACAAAATCATTGGTGCTCGTTTCTTCTTCAAGGGGTACGTAACACTTCTTTATTACAACTTTATCAAATTATAGAATTAGACGGATGTGATTTAATGATTTTTGAATTATTTTAAATGCTAAAATTAACTTCTCAAAATAAAAAAAAAAAAAAAAATTACTATTATTAATTAAAATTCTTTTTTTTTCTCATTTCAGGAATTCATTTAAAATTTTTGAATGAATTATTATGATTTTTCATTTTTTTTAAAATTCATTTTTAATTGTTTATAACTTTAAAAATCTGAAAATAAAATAAAAAAATTTCAGAAAATATTTAAATTGATTTTTAATTAATATTAATATTTTAAAATAATGCAAAAATCATTACATCTTAACCGTTCATTTTTATGAATTATGATTGTCATTTTTCTAACAACTACCATATAATGGTCCGTAGGACACTAAGATGTGCAACTATCATGCATGCTAAGACATGTCAAAATATTTGCACGACAACAGGTGGTGATTTTCACCGTATAATTCCCTAAAATCATGTAATAAGCGTATAGAACTGTTTTCCAACTCATAAAATTATGTATAGATCGAACTTTAATTTATGGCATAGTGGAAGAGTCATGGCTTTTTTTTTTTTTTGGGGAACAATTTGATTTTTGAGATCTGAACCATATTCAATAATATTATAATATTTCGTATTAATTGTGAGTAATCTGAGTATATAATACTACGGAGAACCTGGTTGGCTAGGGAGGAGGTTGCAGCAGTGATTACTGATTAGTACATTAACCAAATGTTTAAGTGTTTAACATTCATTGTCTAAAAAATAAAAATAAATAAATAAATAAAAGTGTTTAACATGTAGTACATTTTTCGTAAATATTGCGACAGTAGAGCGCAGGACTACTTATAAGTCAATGGTACTAGCAATATGCAAATTTTTGACTTGTCATTGTGAATATCACTTTTTCTTATGGAGTAGTACTCTGTATCTTTGTTTCTTAATAAATGCATCCATTAAACTTTATGCACGGTTCATTTTTCTTTTTTTTTTATTTACTATGAAGTAATATACACTGATTATTTTAATTGTTAATAGAGGAAGCCCTAGTTTATATATTTTGTTTATCAAATGGAAAAATTGTAAAAAAATCAACAATTTTGTCTAGTTAGCATGACATTTGTGTAAATTAATCAATAACTATGGTCCCATATTTGACAAAAAGTTGTCGTTTGATAAACAAAATTTATTTATCAAGGAGATACACTTGTATTTTTTTCTTACTAATAAATCAAAGATATAAAAGGTGAAATTAAGTTTATAAACAATGTAAAAAGTCAAAATGTACAAAGTATATACTTCCTCCGTTCTTTTTTACTTGACCTGTTTCTTTTATCACGTTTGTCAATGTACAACTTTAACCATCAATAACTTTAATTCTTTATAAGTAAATATAATAAAAGTTATATATTGTGATAGTACTTATTGAGATGATTCTAACAAGATCCACGTGAATGTGTTTTTTTCTTACATATAATTCACAAAAAATAGTCAAAAGAGGGATGATGAATAGTGTAAAAGTCAAAGCGAGTCAAGTAAAAAAGAACAGAGGAAGTATATGCATCTAAATAGAGGAAGTATTAGCTAGGTACATGACAATCTGATTAGCAAATTGTACTAGGCTTATTGTATATATCGTAAGTGTAATCACTGATTGCTGCACTCTTAGGTACGAAGCAAAACATGGGCCATTGACCATGATAAAGTCACCAAGGGACTCGACGGGGCATGGATCTCACTGCGCCTCAGTAGCGGGAGGATCAGTAGTGGATAACGTTGGTTTCTACGGGTATGCATCAGGGCGGGCTAATGGTGTTGCACCCAAGGCTCGAATCGCTGTCTACAAGGTCTATTGGGGAACATCATCCTTAGGGTCATCGGCAGACATACTTGCGGCAATGGATCAAGCCATACAAGACGGAGTTCATGTCCTATCTATGTCCCTCGGCGGAAGTTACACTGATTACAGCATAGACCCCGTAGCTTCTGGTGCATTTGGAGCAATGATGAAAGGTGTGGTGGTCTCGGCCTCGGCTGGTAATTCAGGGCCGGAATCTTTTACTGTCAAAAATGTTGCACCGTGGATAATCACCGTTGGAGCTTCTACCATCTACAGAGAATTCCCGGCAGATGTAGTGCTCGGAAACGGCAAGGTTTTAAAAGGATCTTCGTTGTTTAATTACAAAAAAAATTCTACTACTTCAACTTTGATGCTGGTTACTGGTCAAGCTTGCGGCAGTAGTGTTTGCAAAGAAGGTATATATCATCAGATCAGTGTAAAACTCCCTGCATTATCAATATCTTTCTTTTGTTTTATCATCTAAATAATATGCTTGTTGTTGATATAATCCATCCGTATCTAAATAAAAGTTTTATATTACTATAATTTTTTAATTAACCTAACTCACTATATACTATAATTTTTTTAATTCTCATTTCTAAAAAAACAATTGTATAAATAAAATAAATGAGATTTAATTTTTGTTTTAAAAGAAAATGAGAGATTTATTTATGGACGATAGGATCAAGTACAAAATATTTTAAAGAAAAAGAATTGCAAATTTTAATTAAAATGATACACGAAGTATTGCCTAAAAAAAGTATATGGTCCATATAAGGTAACAATCCAAGCAAAATGTGTGACCGTGTGAGTGTTGTCGAGATTTATTAGTCTTAATATTTGTCTGGATAATTATATCTTTATTTTTGTAGGTAAGAAGCCACCCGATTTTGTGTGTGTGTGAAAAGTGCTCATGACTACTTAAAACACCATTTCAATTACACAACCACGACACCACTGTCGCCCAACCCACCAATGTGTACTGTACTCTTAATGAAATATAATTACTCACTACGTAATTAGTTATATTAAACGGAGACCAGAATAATAAAACAACTACTATGTAATCATGTATGACAAGTTAAAATTATTGTTGGTACAAGTAACTAATTAAACTATCTATATATTAGTGATGACTAATTGTTTTGGTTAAATGTGAAAGGTGAGCTTGATAGATCCAAAGTATATGGGAAAATGGTGGTTTGCATGGCTGGAGAAACTTCACCAGTGGCTAAGAGTTACGCAGTTGAAAAGGCTGGTGGTTTAGGAATGGTTTTGATAAACAAAGCTATTAAAGGTGATGAATTGAAAGCTTTGCCATATATTATCCCAGCAACTACGGTGACTTATACTACTGGAACTATCATCAAAACGTACATGTCTAATACTGCATATCCTAAAGCTAGAATCATGTTCCGAGGGACGGTATTAGGTCCCTCACCATCAGCACCGAAGGTGGCAGCGTTTTCATCTCGCGGTCCTAACCCTGTCACACTTGATATCCTAAAGCCCGATGTCATAGCTCCCGGGGTTAACATCTTGGCGGGCTGGACAGGTTCGTTGGCGCCTAGTAAGCTAAGTTACGACAAGAGGAGGGTCATGTACAACATTATATCTGGTACTTCCATGGCTTGCCCACATGTAAGCGGCTTGGCTGCTTTGCTAAGAAATGCTTATCCTAGATGGAGCCCGTCTGCTATCAAGTCTGCAATCATGACTACTACTTATAATATCGACAATGCAGGCAAAAAAATCACTGATCTCTCGTTGAAGAACCAGTTCTCGTTGTTCGTTCAAGGATCTGGACTAATTAACCCTAAGGATGCTCTCAATCCTGGCCTAGTTTATGATCTCGATTCTACCGACTACATAGCATTTCTGTGTTCTATTGGATATAGCTCTAGAAAGATTGCCCAATTCGTACAAGATCGGTCACTGATTGATTGTAGTGCAAAGAATTTTTCGAGTCCTGGTGAATTGAATTATCCATCCTTCTCGGTTGTTTTCAAATCTACCAAGGATGTGGTTACGTACAGAAGAGTGGTAAAAAACGTAGGGAGGTCAGTGAAAGCAGTATACCAAGCGAGTGTGAATGCACCAAATTATGTTCGAGTTAGTGTTTCTCGTACAAGACTTGAATTCAATGCCAAACAAAAAATATTGTCCTACTCCATAACTTTCACTAGCATTCTTGGCGGATCTGCAATACCAACTAATGGAGTGGAGAGTTTCGGATCAATTGAATGGTGGGACGAAACTCATCGTGTAACAAGTCCTATTGCAGTTTATTGGAAGCCTAGAAGAGTTCATCAAGAAGACTTCGTTGCTTCAATGTAATATGTTTTGCTCTCCATTCAATAAGTATTATTGGAACTTTCTTCAGTTTCCTCTTGATGAAATAAAAAATGTCTACCTGTATGCATTATTGGTTTTATATGGACCGTCGTCATTCATAAAAAATGGTTGCTTTGAAAAATACGAACCGAGTACAAATTAATTAACATTTCTATTATTCAAACTTTAAATTTTAGTTACTCCCTCTGTGTAAATTTAATAAGTGTTACAGTTTGATCGACACATATTTTTAGACAATTTAATTAAATAAAATAATAAGTTAGTGGGGTAGTTGGAGTATTAAAAAATTATATAAGAAAGATAGTAGGGTTAATAATTTATTGAAAAGTAATGAATGTGAGAAAAAGTATATAATAAAAATAAAAAAAAGTAATAGTGGGTTTGGGTGGAGACCATGAGAGGAGAGAGATATAATATTTAAACGTAGTTTTTTTGCCAAAAAAAGGAAGTGTAACACTTATTAAAAGACGGCCGGATTTGGTAAGCTTAACACTTTTTAAAATACGGAGGGAGTATATATGTTGTGAGACCGAGAGAAAGAGAGGACGGAGGTTACCCTGGTAATGGCATTTCTCGACCGTGTCTCCGATGATGCTTCGGCTAGTGCCTACCAAATAATGGCTTATTTGCTGTCGCTGCTTTGAAACCTGTGCCAGCTCGATAACAAATTTCTCATAACGAGCACGCTGTATGTTTTTTGATTATCTTTGAAACAATTCGTTATTCTTCCCCTCTCATATCCAAACTAACTATATTATATGATTAATGATTCTTTTCGAATAAACTGGGCGTACTACTTCTCCACCTTCTGTGAGCCTTGATGCTTAAAAGGCCCGGGTTCCCTACTACCGTGTCATCATGGCGCTATCTGCCTCGAAACCCTCGGCTTGCTTCGTCTCCTAGTGGTGGTTTCCCGTGGAGCGACCGTGAGTCAGGTTCAGGTGGGAAATAGTACCTCTCCTTCCTCTGTCGGTAGATTACGCCCTACGGCATTGATTAAAGAACTAAAGACGTTTCCACTCCCAATAGCAGCTCCGGCACCCATTAATTTTGCACCTTCTGACGTAACAAAGTTGATCATTCTCCTAACACTTTTTCATTCACGGTTTTATGTTTGTCCAGCATAATAATTTGACTAATAATGTCACAATTAATTAAATCTCTATATAATGTACATTATGTTGCATAAGATCAAATTGTTTATGTCTACCGAGTTACTATTTCGTTCTCATATTTTCATAATATAATACAATCTAATATTATTAGCTTAGTGTTGAGTCCCTTAGGTTTTGATTGATAGTTTTGAATGATGACAAACAGCTAAGGGAAACAGGTCCTTGAAAGTGTTCGATACAGTTAGGGGAACCAGCTAACATAGAACACTGTTTCCCCAGACAAGTTATTACTTACATGAGTTTTCTTATTGAACTAACTTGTCTTTATACAGGGAACAGTTATATGATAAAAGTGTTATGTACTGGTAGGGAACCAGTATGTAATGTTTCCATGGTTGCTACGTGGTAAAGCAGTCACATACTCTTTATTGTGCATTAACCATGTTACATGTGCAGTAGTTGAGTTGATTCCAAGACTTGGAGCATAGAAGCCTTTCGAAGATATTTCGAAGAAAGATTGTTTGCTCATAATAGAAGTATTCAAGGAAGATTCAAGTCTTGAAGATTACATGAAGAAAAGACGATTTATGCTTTAATATGTTATCTAGGTTTTCATGTAATATGCTCCGTAGTATGCTTGCATGTTTGGGTTATATAAGTGCTTAAAAGTATATTGAAGTATGATATGAAATCTGGTACAAAGTTGGAACAGGTTTCATAACATGTTTCAATTCAGGGAACCAGGTCGGGGAACCAGGTTCACTGTATTCGAGCTGCCGTTTTGGAAAAAGATTTTACAAAAAGATTTTTTCGAAAAGATTATCTTGAAAATATTTTGTGCAGCTGGAAATAAGATGAAATATTCTTGGTTACCTAAAATCTAGGAGTATTTATCTTAATTGATTCTATCTTTGTGATTAAATCAAATAAGATAAAAACTTTCCTAAAATTACATTATATCTTATTCTCTAAGATTGTGTGATTTAAGGAAACTAGGTTTTAGGAATCTAAGCTTATATAAACTCATCTTATTTCACATATTTCGTGTGCCTCTCCAGAAATTAAAAGAGCAATTATTTGAGAGCATATACTTAAGCACTAATCCCATTCATCAAGTCATATACAAGAGCATTCTAGTACTTAAACGTTTTCTCTTAATTAGCTTCGTAGAAGTGAGATCAAAGGGGAGTTCTTGATTCTTGTATTGAGTCTTTAACAAAGGGGTTAAAGGCTGGGTGAGTGTTTGTGAGTTCAAACATATTGGGCTTACGAGTGTAAGTTGAGAGCACACTCGGAGTAGAGTGTGGGGTTTGCTGGTTCCCGGAGTAGGGAACAGCAGAGTGTTCTTTGTCTTTGTTTTTCGGAGTAGATTAATAAAGAACTTAGGATAGGAGGACGTAGGCCTGAGTTGGCTGAACCTCGTTAAATTTGTTGTGTTCTTTATTGCTTTGTTTTATTTCGTTAAATTTGTTGTCTTCTTTATTGCTTATTTATATTCCGCTGCGTACGGGAACCAGCACAACTGGTTCCTCACACATAATCCGAAAAGAAGCAAAATTAGCCAACGATTACTTAACACTCAATTCACCCCCCCCCCTCTTGAGTGCCCATTGAACCTTCAATTGGTATCAGAGCCTAAGCTTCTCGAAAGAGTAACATCTAGAGGAGTTAAGAATGAGTACTCAAGAATTAAGTGCAATCGGTTATGACAACAAGTCACCCAAGTTTAATGGAAATAATTATGCTTGGTGGAAGAACAGGATCCAGAATGTTATCATGGGTATTGATTATGAATGCTGGCTCGTAGTTAAAAATGGTCCTAATATCATTCTCAAGACAGATGTTGAGGGGAACCAGGTTCCCAAGAAAGATAGCGAATTGGTCACTGCTGATTACAAGTTGCTGGAGAAGAATGCTAAGGCAATGTCAATACTACAACAAGCAATAGGTGAGACCGAAACAAATCGTATATCTGGCTGCAGTAGTGCTAAGGAGATATGGGACACCCTTGAACTTGCGTTTGAGGGAACCAGTGAGGTAAAACGGTCTAAAATTGATTTAATCATGTCTAAATATGAATTGTTTGCCATGAATAAAAATGAAAAAATCAATGATTGCTTTCGTAGGTTTATGACTATTGTAAATGATCTTAGATCTCTTGGTAAAAATTTATCTGACGAGGATCTTGTGAGAAAATTATTGCGTAGTTTAACAGATGCATGGACAGCCAAGGTAACAGCAGTATATGAAGCAAAGGATCTGTCTACCTTGTCTCTGGAACAGCTGATTGGTTCCCTTATGACTCATGAGATGCTGATTGACTCTAAGTCTGAGAAGGAACCAGCAAAAGGCATGGCGCTTAAGGGAACAGTAGAAGATGATGAAGATGAAATTAGCATGATTGCAAAAAGATTTGAGAGATCTCTTCGAGATCAAAGAAAGAATTTCAAAGGTAAGCATTTTAAAAACTATAAAAAATCTAACTCTAATTCTTCTTCTACAGGATGTTTCAAGTGTGGAGAAAAAGGACATCTTATTCGAGATTGTCCTAAGTGGAATGACAAACAGTCTAAATCCGGAGATAAACAAGCATACAAGAATGCCATGATAGCTTCCATGTGGGGAGACTCTGACTCAGGGTCAGATGAGGAAGAAGGATCACCCAACTCAGATGTTTGCCTAACTGCCTTTACAAACATCAAGGAAAACAGCACTGGTCCAGGAACCAGAGGGGGAACCAGTACATTCAACAAATGCTGTATGGCAAAGAAGGATGTACTACATGAACGCAAGGTAAGCTTAGAGCAAATTAGAGAAGATATGCATGAATATGATAGAGAAAATATGCTTGCTTGTATTGATTCCTTACTAGATGAATGCTATAAACTAAGTGAAACATACATAACTTGCAAAAGAGAATTAAAAGAAAAACGTGGTGAATGTAATATTGCTATTGCTAGTTGTGATCATCTAGAAGGAGTCTGTTATGAACTAAAAAATCAAGTAGCAGAACTAGAGGTTGAATTGGACAAGTGTAAAGTGGAACTAGAAAAGGAAAGATCGTTTGAACCAATTGATGGTGAAGAGGATCTGACCTCCTGGTTCCCTAGAGACTTATCAACCACTAGTGATACTCTTGATTTTTCAGTAGCTATAAGTAAAGCAAATTCGTGTACTAGAACTTCCTTGTTGAAGGCCTTTGAAACATTGGCTTACAACCTGGAAAACTCTCACAAGGAAATTGCTTCACTTAAAGCTGCACAGTTCACTGTTTCCCCTACAGGTACCAGTGTAGATGTCAGTAATACGATTGATAAGTATGAAAGTAATATTTGTGATTTGCATGCGGAAATCAATCAACTGAAAAAGGACAAGCAACCAGTGGTTGTTGACATGTCTATTGACTCTATGGTTTCAAAGCTTAATCTACAATTCGAAGCTTTAAAAAGTAACTTTGATTTTCTTAAAGAGAAAAACGAATTGTTAACTAAAACACTTGAAACCAGAGAAAAAGAACTTAATGATAGTCATAGACATGTGGACAAATTATTGAATGCTCAAGAATCCTTAAATTACCTGACTTCATCAAGAGGAAACAGAGGAAAAGTGGGTCTTGGTTATATTAGACAGAGAACCAGGACTAACTGGTCTCCCAGAGAAACCACCTGGATCAAAGAATATCAACGAGGCAAGTATGTCATGACTAAAGAAATGCATGTGTGTTTTCATTGTGGTAAAAATGGACATAAGATACATGAATGTCCAGCTAAGAAAATTAGTGCTAATAAGAACAGCAAGGGTGTAAAATATGTGTGGAGAAGAAAGGATCAACAAGATGTTAATGTTGTTGAAAAGGGACCCAAGTATGTTTGGGTTCCTAAAACTAATGTTTGATTTGCTCTTGCAGGCTAGAGTGAAGGGAGACACCTATTGGTATTTGGACAGTGGTTGCTCAAGACACATGTCCGGGGATAAAGATCAATTCCTTTCACTAGTGGCCTTTGATGGAGGAAGTGTCACCTTTGGGGATAACAACAAGGGAACCATCACTGGTTTAGGTAAGGTTGGTAAGACACTTTCT